TTTCGCGCATCGGACTCAACAGCCACGACACTGCCTCCAGACGACGTGGACAGCAACCATCATAAATTTGCGTTTGCGAAGCAAAGCCTTGCATTACATTACTTCGTGGGCAATACATTCTGGGGATCATACGTGATAAAAATCAAAAAGTAATTGAAATCCCAGTAAGATTTAAAATTAATACAACTCAGTATATAACGGTGTTACATGCTTTGGTCACAATGTGTAGGTCCCTGCCTGGCGCTCGGCATTAATGGGTACAACAAGGACTGGTCGGCTCGGAGTCAGTATAATGTGTCTGAGTGGGGTATTCATGCTTCACTGCGGCATGGTATCTCAGTGGGCTAGCACTATAAAACCAGCTTAAGTCTGGGCTAGTACAAGCAGCCGCACATACACATACACACGCATGCACGTCGTTATATGAGCGAAATATTCTCAAGCACGACGTTAAACCCAATTTCACCTCACCTCACCTCACAATGTTTAAGTGGGGAATTTTAAGGCCGCTTCTGACAGTATTCCAGTTATATAGTCGCGTGTCAGCTTGCTGTGAGTGAGTATGGTTTTACGCCGCTTTTAGCAATATTCCAGCAATATCACGGCGGGGGACACCAGAAATTGGCTTCACACATTGTACCCATGTGGGGAATCGAACCCGGGTCTTACGAGCGAACGCTTTAACCAATAGGCTACTCCACCGCTTCTGCTGTGAGAGAATTATCCGTTGTGTTCCATATTCAGTTTAGAGCAGTTAAAACAACGGGTAGCCTAGTTCTAATTTGAACATACAGTATTTATCCTGTATCATGAACGTTAGTTTGTTACCCAGACCCCCAAAAGTATATTATAAAACTTATCTAACTCAAGTCAATAACAACAGGGGAAGAATAGATTGTTTACTCTATAGCTCTGAAATTATAAAAGTTCTAGGCACCTTTTAGATTTTATTTATTTTTATTATTATTATTTTTAAAAGATATATTTTAAATTGGATAACTTTATTCCAAGGAGGGCGGTGGATGTAGCCTGGTGGTTAAATCGTTCGTTCGTCACGCCGAAGACCCGGGTTTGATTCCCCATGTGGGTGCAATGTGTGAAGCCCATTTCTGGTGTTCCCCGTCGGGATATTGCTGGAATATTGCTAAAAGCGGCGTAAAACCGAAGTCACTCACTTATTCCAAGGAATAAATGTCAGTCGATAAATATTGCTATTTGGTAATGAAGCAGTCGTAAAATATGTATATATCCATTATCCACATCGACTTTTACTATTCTCAGGGGATTCCAAATTTCAATTCCCAAATCAATTGGCTTGTCCTGAGAAGCAGTGTAATGGATCAGGTGTTCAAGGTCGGTGATTAGGCTGATTGTGAGAGATCGAACGACGACAAGTGAAAAAATAACATGTCTGTCTTTCTGTGAAATAATCGCTCACTGGTTGTCCCGGATACTATGCTATATGAAAATATACGTAATTTGTTAGAGGTAATAATACGTATTGGGCTACTTCGCCAAGAGACGAGACGAGACGCTTATCGAGCACATATATATCTTTGTGTATATATCAAGCAACGAAATAAAAATCTTCCATTCGTCTAGTTCTCAGCACATTAGGGGGGCAGTGTGGTAGCCCAGTGATTAAAGCGTTCGCTCGTCACGCCGAAGACCAGGGTTCGATTCCCCACATGGGTTATTGTCATTTCTGGCGTCCCCCGCCATGATATTGCTGGAATATTCCTAAAAGAGGCATACAACTCAACTCACTCACTCACTCTCACTCAATAAATGCTTGTCGTAGGATGACATTACGTTTGTTGTAAGAGGTGACTGTGCTTTTCACAAGAGGCAACTAACGAGCATCGGATTGCCAGGCTTGATTAATTATTGTCATCCTATCCAAGCTGCTCAGATAGAAGCTCACAAAGTCAATCACTGGAATGACTGCGTCGCTGACTGCAGCGTTGTCAACAAACAAACTTACAATGTACGTGCAACTAGGCGATGCTGTAGCCTTGTGGCTAAAGCTCTCCCACGTCACACCGAACGCCCTGGTTCGATTCCAAATTTGTGATATTTTTCGAATATCGATAAATACAGTGTAAAACACTACATAACACAGCAACAACACGAAACAACAACCATCAAGAGAGTGGGGAGTTTGGTTGTACGCCGCACTCAGCAATATTACTGCTATATGGCGGCGGTCTGTAAATAATCGAGTCTGGACCAGACAATCCAGTGATCAACATCATGAGCATCGATCTGCGCAATTGGGATTCGATGACATGTGTCAACCAAACCAGCGAGCCTGACCACCCGATCCCGTTAGTCGCTTCTTACGACAAGCAACAATCAAACCGCCTCCGTGGTGTAGTGGTTAGAGCGTCCGCCCGGAGAGCGGAAGGTCGCGGGTTCGATCCCCGACCGCGTCATACCAAAAGACGTTAAAATATGGTACTTGTTGGTCCCTGCCTGGCGCTCGGCATTAATGGGTACAACAAGGACTGGTTGGCTCGGAGTCAGTATAATGTGTCTGATTTGGGTATTCATGCTTCAATGCGGCATGGTATCTCAGTGGGCAAGCACTATAAAACCAGCTTCAGTCTGGGCTAGTACAAGCAGCCGCACATACACACGCATGCACGTCGTCATATGAGCGAAATATCCTCAAGCACGACGTTAAACCCAATTTCACCTCACCTCACAAGCAACAATCAAGAGAAAACATGACCTAAAACTACACAATGCCATAAGAACTCCCGCGAAGATACGGCAAAGGAACGACAATCTCAACACATCATATGTTTTGACCAACACAAGTGATACAATCAAACCGACGGTCTTCGCTATGTAAACTATTCAATCTATGGTCTACTTATTGAAGTGTTGGGTAACTAATGTCCCTCAGAAAGTACTTTGTGTGTACTGTAAACATAACACTTCTTTTAACGACGGTTAAACATGCTGCCTTTTAAAGCATGTGACTTGCAAACGAAGCCCCCTTTTAAAAACACACCCAGTGTCTGCGTAATATCTATAAATACATTTATGTATTCGTTTGCGAGAAACATTCAAAGACACGCTTTATAAGTGTGTTTACATGGCGCCTGTGCATTGTTGTACAATGCCTTTACGAGCCATAGATCAATAGCGAACGCTCATCGTGCTAAAAGGCGTCTAGGGAGATGATTGCCCCGTGCTTTAGTCGCGGGTTATGACCGTTTAACCAGAAACTAAAGAAGAAGAGTAGAACGCATTCTGACAAGATAAAATATTTACATATGCTGTCATGTTCTCAATTGATTGTAAGGACTATCACCGTTCTTTCTAGTCCTAATGACTTTAAAAGGTCATACACATGAAGACTAGTGTTCTATGTAACACGTTTTCGAGAAATGAATCTATACATTTATGAAGCGTGAGTTATTTGACAGGTTAAATATGTATATGCGGGTGCAGATGACACCTATTTCAATGGATATTACCATTTATGTCAATTGCTTTAAAGGACGTATTCAATTCAGTGAAGCAACGGAGACGTTACATAACAACCAGATTGTGGGGTACACGAAGGTTATTGCGTTGGTCCGTATCTTTTATTGTATTGTGCGTGTCTTGTCGAGAGGAATACAGCTGTGGCCGTGGACTTATTATTAACGTTCAAGGTATTTCATACGCATTTAACTTATTTTTACTAATTCAGTAGCTGAGCTTCTCTTACCAATTTCCACAGGCTAACTTTGTACAATTACGAAGCTATCGTTCTATGCGTTTCATAATGAACCCTTATCATGACAAGTTAATTGGATTGTTTAGAAATTGATAAACAAAAGCTCAAACGATTTCTTAGCTCATTTTCAAATCATTTAGAGTCAGTGACTGTGTTTACACTTTTAATGATGGCACAATCATAAGATTCACTTGTTGAACCTAAATGTTTTTTCTCTTGAGATATTATGGATATAACTAAAGAACCTTTCAACTCAAATATATATGTGTGTGTGTGTGTGTGTGTGTGTGTGTGTGTGTGTGTGTTGTTTACATGTGTGTTGTGTGTATGTTTGTGTATGTTATGTATGCCTGCATGCATGTTGGATGGTTTATGTAGATGCTGTGTGTGTCCGTATATGTACATGAATATGTATACATATCATGTCCTAGAGCATAAAAAATGACAGATCGAGCATCATCGTACCCGACAAGATTGAATATTGCCAGCGATATGGTCATCTGTTCCTGTCTGCAGGAAGCAGTTCCACAATGCTATCTTATCACAACTATTGTTTGAAGCTTTTGTTAAAGTATGGCTAAGAAAACTTAGATGTTTTTCACGACATCATCCCAATTCAAACTATCTATAGCACTGAATCGTGGTGACGTGGCAATGCCATGCTACATGTAAGCGTTCTACGCAATCAAGGTCCAGAATGTCAGGTTTCCGGTTTAACAGGGTGGAAATACGAGGTTTCACTGAAATTGGAAAATTGCTGACTCTGGCGTACAATAACACTCAATGTATCTCGTAAAGCATAATTTACATTGCGATTCAGACTTAAGGACCCGAAATTGCACTTCATTAACTTCAACAAAAGAGGTTGATTCAATAATACTTTTCAGATCAAGTATGTAATTATGATCAATGTTATTGATCCCCATTGATTCTTTGAACAATTCTTGTATTGATTCGTGATCTTCAGTTCAAACAGTTCTCTTCATCGCGAAGAGGACCTTCATTCAAAAGTAACTCATACATTGTTTGCGCTTCATGAATAATTTCCTTGGGTTGAAGTGAATAGATTTGATTTATGTTGGTATTAACTTGAAGACATGTGTAATTAGATATAACTGGGATTAATTAAAAACACATAATGGATTGAAGAGAATCCAATAAGTTTGCTATGGTAATATTGATTGTTGTCAGCGATAAAATATATGTTTCTGTGGCGAAGACAGATTCTTTCGATCTTGCAGCTGACACATCTGGCATTCTGGAAAACGACGCGAGACGTTCCGGGTAGGCGTGCAGCTCGTGCAGATGAAGACAGTTTGAGTAAACATTATGCTCCTGCACGTGATTTTTGTGTGGCTCGTGTTTAACGTAACACCGACCATCGGCGCTGGCAACATTACCACCAAAGAGCGTGATCTTCTTAATCGTCTGCTCGACCCGGACACCTATGATGCAACGATTCGCCCAAGAGATGATTCAGGTAGGAATCTGTTCGTTATGTCATGCATTATCGGCTTCACGATGTTGTTGTCCACAATCAAATAGTTATACATTTGGAAATGGGTGTGGGAAGGGAAGGGATATTAATTACCGGAGGGAGGGTCTTGAAAGAATAGCTCAGCGAAAGTGTATTCATACGTTCACCTTTAGCGCAGCTGGTCACAAATAAGTTCGAGAATGTATAAATATTGTATATTTACAATAAAAATTGTATACTTGCGTAAAACAGGGTCCTCCATCTGTTAACGTGATCTGGGTCTACCCATGCGCAATTTCATTTGGTCTTTGCGAATCTGAAATCGCATGGATTTGACAAGGTTATTTGAAAAGGTTATTTGAAATTACATGTATGTTAATGTTAGGTACGGGACCGTTGTTGTTTTCTTTTTCTTTTTTTTTTTTGGGTGTGTTTTGTTTTGTTTTGTTTGTTGTTGTTGTGTGTGTGTGTGTGTGTGTGTGGTGGGATGATGATTTTAAGGTTGTTTTACAGGAACGGTTTTATGACCATAATGCTTTGCGTTGTGTTTTGTGTACTCAGAACTAAACTACTGTCGGAAATAGAAAAAAACTGGGTTCTTTCACATTTATATCTACAAGTTAGGTAGTTAATATGTGAAAGTGTGAAATATCTGTTAAACTAAGTTCAGCCTTACTACAGTCTCAGTGGTAGGGAGATAGGAAACGTTAAAAAAGGATTTTACCGAGGAGATATGAGTGCAGAAATGAGCAATGCGGATTTTTTTCAAAGTCCGAAGAGACTTATTTGGAGCAGACCATGGCTTTATGCAAATTAGTGTGCGATGATATTGTATAACAAATGACACTTTTTGAATGTCCATTTTGAAATTAGACTTAACTTCATAATAAACGACAGCAGACGTAAAAAATAACAACTTTAATACTGAAACTATTAAGGATGTAGATACCATTGAGTCTCACTATCACTATAAAATGAAACAGTTGGGAGGGGTCGTCTCAAATGCAAAACCAAGACGGGTGTTGCTGACGGTAGTTGGGGTCGGGCTTGGGGATAGAGATATAAGCTAAGATTAGAAAATCAGTAGTCATATTCATGAAAAAGCATAAAAGAATTTGAGATGACCCCATGTGTCTGTGGACAGCACTGCATTTCATGCCAAGTGAGTTGACGGTCCGTCGTCATACCTGGCTGAGCGACCTAATTGCCATCTATAGTCTGATCTATTGTTTTCAGCAGCTGTTCGTATTTTGTCTAAGTTTTACCCGATTTTACGAGTAAACTTGTTTTCTGGATATCATATTACGCATCCCACTGAACGCCCAGTTAGGCCGATGTGGGTTATTTCGACATATGCTATTTGCAATTGTGTAAATTTTAAAGATACAGAGTTGTCAGCGATTGTGTGCACGTGTACTTGGGGGCTCTGGAATTATGCCCGTAAAATTATTTTTAGCTAGCTTGTGTTTATGAAACACTATCAACTTGCCTCCTGACCCACCTGTGGCACCCGTGATATACATGCAATGTGTTGTCAACTGTTCACCTGTAAAATAAACATTCAGGAACGCGCGCGTGGTACAAGTCAAAATAGGGAATTGCATCGGATATCATTTTTGTCACTGATGCATCCAATTTAGAAATTTCCTCAACATACTTATCATGAAACGTGTCTATCAAGACAATCTATACGTCTCAGGGTTCTTGGATACAAATCAATATGCGAAAATCTGTCTGAACCTTTTGGCCTATATGTGACATTGAGTAAACCTGAAGGTAAAACATTTATCCAAACTCTTCTTGACTTAAACAAATCTCCTTTCACATCAAACAATTTTAATGACACATGGATTGTACAACAAAGCTAGATAAGAGATATTGATTCACATCTTAGAGAAATGCACTGTTTCACACTAAGAGCATGAGAGAGAAATGTATGGCAATCGAATTGTGTGTGAAGTGGCTTTTGCTGACGACGTAATCGTCTCGAGTACGTGCGCTATCAGTGCGGGTAGGCACAAAATAAGAAACTCACAGATTTTCATCTTGGGTAAAAATCATTATAAAAGTCGAATCTTAGATAAACCTATTGCTTAACTTAATCACTTTTTATGAAGAAAAATATTCATTTTTTTAGTTTAAAAATAACTATAACACTTTTTGGTTCACATGTACCTTTTTATCTATATTATCATTTAAATTATGTTTTTGGTTGTTTTTTTTATTGGGAAGGGGGCATATCTCTCAGGTGTGAAAGAATTGCTTCTTCTTCGTCCAACAAACAGATTATTTGATTCCACCCAAACTGAAATAGAGGCAGTGCAGAAAAAAACGCCTTCATTTGCTGAAAATGCAATACATATTTCAACATGTTTCGTTCCGACCCGCGAAGGTCCGGATTGGAATTGGTCTTCAGCAAGACGTAAGAGACAAATAAAAATATCGGTGATCAGGCTCGCTGAATTGGTCGATGGATGTCATCGTATCCCAGTTTCGTAGATCGATGTTCATGATGTCAATCACTGGATTGCCAATTTTATGTTGATTTCGGATAGCGTGTAGGAAACCTCTCGTGGATCGAATCAGAGATTAACCCTATGTATGTTTCTGGTTTGTCAGTACCTGGCCCGTGCTGGAAGGTTTCACCTAACCATAAATGTCCTTGAATCCACATTAAGCTGAAACTCCGTCATATTAACGTGATGCTGTGTGAAGCGGCTTAATACCAACTCACTCACTCACTCACTCACTCACTCAAAAATACTGTTTCTATCGATGCCGACTTGGATGTTTTACCTGTAATGAATCTACGATATAAACTTCCAATCAAAAGTTTAGACTCACTTAAAACACTCACTATATGTTATGTATATATATATGGTTACATCGAAAATTGATTGGGGAACCAACTGCAAACTGTATGCAGATGAATTACATGACGATCATACATCAAATTGCTGAAAAAACATGGGCAAATATCGTGCATGTGAACAGCTCCGTTTTGGTGTAAAGTTTTGTTAAGAATTTGCCAATTTTCACTGATTTTTATCATTTACTGAACTCATGACAATAATCTTTTCAATAACGAATTTGTTTTACAATACATCTGTTCATGTGTAAACAGTACCTTTTAACAGTATGGAATATTTTGCAAAATTTAGTTTAGAACAGTTTCCTGAAGGAAGTGGCTACATTCACACTAGTGAGTCTAAACTTTGATGGGAAGTATATACTTATTCAAGCCCATTACAAAAGAAGGGCTCCCCAGTGCGGAACTAAAAGCCAATGAAAGAACAATATAGTTCAGTTCAGTACTATTGGTCGTGAAATGATTCATGAGACATGGCATTTAGGTTTGATAAGCCATACACGATTTCAGCTTCGCTGGTACTACTGTATACAAGCAAAACAGCAAATCATTTTATGTGGTCACGGCCTTGAAACTAGGACAACAAAATGAAACATTTAAAACAAAACCTGTCATGCACATAGCTTGTTTGTTCTGTTTGCTTTGCTCTGCAAAATATCACCATACGCAATTCCATGGTGTACATGACACTTCAAGGATAGTGTAAGCCATCTGGATATTTACTGAACTAATCTCAAAGGCTACTACTACTGTTTCATGGACACATTAACATTTAAGTAGTAATTTACAAACGTTATTTTACGCCCTAGCAAACATTGGACTGATTGTACGTATTTCAGTGTCTAGATAATTGGGAATATGACTCTTTATGTACTTTATGCAAACATGCTCTTATTTCAACCAGAGTGAATGTCCGATTTAAAAGGAAAAAATGTAAGCTGAAGTACAAACGATGGACCAGATCATCGATTCTGCCCTTCTGATTGCGCGGGACAAATTTAACCGCCTTATATTCTGTGAATATTTACCTACAGCAAATTACTTCTTTGTTTTCTAAAGATCGGTTGATACAACACGTACAGATTTCCAATTTACAAAACGTTTCTGAAACAGCACGATGGCAATGTTTTAAAGAAAATCGTAATCTGTCCTGGAATTATGTTCTTCGTTTAGGATAATCATTTCTCGAAAATTAGGTCGATTTAGTCCTCTGAACTGCTTTATAAAGGTAACTCTCCACAAGGAAATAACGATTCCGGGGGGAATAATGATGAATGACTGACTGTCTGCGTGAGTTTAGTTTTACGCCGCTTTTAGCAATATTCCAGCAATACCACGGCGGGGAACACCAGAAATGGGCTTCACACATTGTACCCATGTGGGGAATCGAACCTGGGTCTTCGGCGTGACGAGCGAACGTTTTAGCCACTAGGCCACCCCACCGCCCCTAATGAATGACGTATCTCTCCACACTTAAACGTAATTCCGTGAGTTAAGTTTTACGCCGCTTTTAGCAATATTCCAGCAATATCCCGGCGGGGGACGCCAGAAATGGGCTTCACACATTGTATCCATGTGGGGAGTCGAACCCGGGTGTGATCACACTTCGACGAAAATGTAGTGTGTAATTAACAAGGACATTCAAAACATTGGTAGAGGATGTTTATTTGTTTGTCTGTTTGCTATTTTAACGCCGAACTCAGCATTATTCCAGATACAAAGCGGCAGTAATCCAGTGATTGACATCATGAGCATCGATCTAAGATGACAGGCAAGTCACCAAGCCTAAACAGCTATCCCGTAAGTCGTCTCTTACGGCAAATATGAATTGCCGATTCCCAATCAACCATTCCACCAAGAACCCGTGAAGATCCGGGTTAGAATTAGTCTTCAGTAACCCATGCTTGTCGTAAGAGGCGACTAACGGGATCGGGTGGCCAGGCTAGCTGACCTGGTTGACACATGTCATCGTATACCAATTGCGTAGATCGATGCTCATGCTGCAGATCACTGGATTGTCTGGTCCACACTGGATTATTTACAGACCGCCGCCATATAGCTGGAATATTGCTGAGTACAGCATTAAACAACAAACCAACCACCCAACCAACCATTCCCCCGAGTTTGACATCATCCAATTTAGTTAGTCTTCGGACAAGTTATTGCCTGTTGGGAGAGTATATTAATTTTACCAGTCATGGGGGTTTGCAACCATTTACTGCTCAACTGCGCACAATTGGGCATATCCGACCGAATGTGCCACCACTCTTGTGCTGTCTCTAGTTATGAGCTGGATTGATTACTGTATCTCTCTCCTCGCTGGTGCCACTATGGCACAGATAAGGAAACTTCAGTGTATGCAGAATGCTGCTGCACGTGTAGTGACCCAGTCACGTAAATCTCATGACGCTCTGAAACTCCTACATTCTTTACACTGACTGCCCATTCACTATAGGATTCAATTCAAGCTTCTGTGCCTCACTTTCCGCTGTCTTGTCTGGATCTGCCCCTTCGTATCTGGCCCCACAGCACCGCCCATGTCGCTCTCCCCGTTCTAAGGATAAACGGTTCCTCGTTGTCCCCACTGTGAGGACTTATGGTGAAAGGTCCTTTTCGTATGCAGCCTCTACAACCTGGAATGAACTACCTCAATATATACGTGACTGTACAGAACTTTGTAATTTTAAATCCTTACTAAAGACTCTCTTCTTCAGATTAGGGTATGAGTGCAAACAATAATTCATTGAATTGTTTCCATGTATCTCTATTCTTTTATTCTCTCCTAGTGTCTGTTTTTATATACTTCTATGTCTTGCGCTTTGAGCATGTTGTACATGGAAAACAGCGCATTACAAGCATGCTATTATTATTATTATTATTTAGACCTAATTAGGCCATATGCGATTTGGCCCTAGAGTATCTTGTAAGCGGAGAAGGTGTGCACTGTCTTCATTCCTAAGCAAAGTGACCGCCTCAAAAGTGTAGTGGTTAGAGCGTCCGCCCGGAGAGCGGAAGGTCGCGGGTTCGTTCCCCGACCGCGTCATACCAAAGACGTTAAAATATGGTACTTGTTGGTCCCTGTCTGGCGCTCGGCATTAATGGGTACAACAAGGACTGGTCGGCTCGGAGTCAGTATAATGTGTCTGAGTGGGATATTCATGCTTCACTGCGGCATGGTATCTCAGTGGGCTAGCACTATAAAACCAGCTTAAGTCTGGGCTAGTACAAGCAGCCGCACATACACGTACACACGCATGCACGTCGTCATATGAGCGAAATATTCTCAAGCACGACGTAAAACCCAATTTCACCTCACCTCACCTAAGCAAAGTGTGAGTCATCGCAATGATATTTCCGACATCATGGTCAACTCAGTTATATCCGGATATGTTTTTAACCCGTTGCCATGGCAATAACGAACACTGTGTATGTTACCGCCTTGCTACTTGGCAACAGTTTCATTATAGTTTTTACGATAAATCACAAGACGTTAAATAACAAGAATACCGTCTTGCCCTGCGTAGCCTATTGGTCATCGCGTTCGCTCGTCACTCCTAAGACTCGGAATCGACACACCATATGGATACAATGTGTGATGCCCATTTCTGGTGATATTGCTGGATGAATTGCTAAATCTCCTCTCACTCACTCACAGACATACATACACACACGTACGCACGCACACACACACGTGTGCACATACATACATGAACATTCACATACTGTGTGGCTCTGATTCCTATAAGCTCTAAACAAGTGGGGCCGTGTGGTAGCCTAGTGGTTGAAGCGTCCGCTCGTAACGCCGGAGACCCGGGTTCGATCCTACATGAGTACATTGTGTGAAGCCCATTACTGGTGTCCCCCCAACCGTGGTATTACTGGAATATTGCTGAAAGCGGCGTAAAGCTACACTCAAGCACTCTAACCAAGTGGGACCGCCTCCGTGGTGTAGTGGTTAGAGCGTCCGCCCGGAGAGCTGAGAACAAGGACTGGTCGGCTTGGAGTCAGTATAATGTGTCTGAGTGGGGTATTCATGCTTCACTGTGGCATGGTATCTCAGTGGGCTAGCACTATAAAACCAGCTTCAGTTTGGGCTAGTAGAAGCAGCCGCACATACACACACACGCATGCACGTCGTCATATGAGCGAAATATTCTCAAGTACGACGTTAAACCCAATTTCACCTCACCTCCTCACCTCACCTCACCTCACCTCACCTAACCAAGTGGCTTCGTGTTTTACAGGGGAAGCAACTCGAGTGGAACTGGACCTGACTCTAACATCACTGGGCCCAGTCAACGACATCAATATGGTGAATATAGAGTGAGAGAGAGAAGGCGTGCGTGCTTTTTTGTGGGGGTGAGATGAATAGTTTTTCACAGTGCATCAACATTCATCATATCCAGCTTACAAGTATTAAATAATATTTCAGTTAAGTTATCTACAATGTCACAGATCAGTCTTAGTTTGTAATTTATCAGGTCCCGACCCACAAAGCGTTTGTAGCACTGCGACATTCGTAAGCCTATGATAAACTATAGAGTTACGACAGGTCGTCACGTTAACGTTACGAATGCTTTGTGAGTCGGGACCAAGAATGTGTGTGCCCAACATAGTTTCATGGTGTTAGGATGTTTGTCTTTACGAAATATTCAGGTTCGTATTTTAAATCATGTATCATCTGGTTTTGCAGTTCAGCTGAAAGAATATCTAATTTTCCTTTTCCACCCCGTAACTCACCTCACCCCAAATCAATATCAAATCAGCATTCCTATAAACAAATCAGATATCATGTTCAGGATGTTCATGTGGAGGAATTGTCGGGGACAGGAACCCTGTACATTTCCGAAGATCAATGAAGTACATTGCTATGCAACGCTTCCTCTGACTACATGTTGTACAGTTCGGTATGACTACATTTCACAACTGCACGGTCAATAAACTACCCATGTGAGAAACAGTATACTAGAGTTCAATCATCTATGATTCATTGACACTAAACCTGAGCCCATACAAGTCTCCGGAGTTCATAAGGTTCCATTAGGAACGATGAAAGTCTACAATAGGGGGTTTACCGCGAACAACGCCTTTCATCTGTGTACTAGGATCTATAGAATATTATGTTGACTGAGATTGTGCCTTGGGCCACATGAAATATGCTTCCAGAAAAAGGTTTTGCATAGCTAGGCTTTGGGAAAATTGCCGTTGCATAACCGAATGCTGTGGTATGGCTGTGAATTTAGTAATCATAAAACCTGTTATCCTGAGATTTATCTTGAGTTTTAATAATAATAATAATAATAAATGTGCATTTATAATGCGCGCAATCCAGACAGATATGCCTGCTCAAGGCGCTACAATGGGAATGTATAAAGATAAAAGTCAGGGGAGTGCTGAGTGGAGTTAAATGTCACTGTGATGACGAAGAAATGACATCAAAATTGTACCAATTCAGTGGAATTTGTGTTTCGCTAGTCATTTCAAAACAGGCTACAAAACTGACCAAAACGGTTATAGAAAAACGATGGGCATGACAACGAGATAGAGTTGTCAGGTGTCGGGGAACAGTCATGATGTTAGAAACACGGCTAGTCATCAAGTCACACCAGAACGTTAATATCTGGTGTAGTCTCCATCAGCACAATCACCTGCAGTCCACCTTCTCATTGGTTGTGGAAGGACTTTGATTTGTCTTTGAAGCACCCCACCCCTGCCCCTCTCCTCCCCAAAAAATTTCCCTGAGGAGTATTCCTCCCCTAACCTTTGGTCTTCATGTTTTATGTGCCACCCCCACCCCCTTGTTCAAACTCCTGGATCCGCCCCTACATTTGTTTTGATTTTGTGCACATACACGAATGTTCAAGGGAGGAAACAGCTTTTGGGGGGGTTTGAGGGTGCACATTCATTTTCACGAGAGTTCCAATGGTCATTTAATAAACATTCAGGACGGCGGGGGGGCGCACCCGTGTTACCATGAGTTGGTGCTGAAGTGATTATGTTTGGAACGTGACTTACTATCAGACACTGGGTGCATTAAGTACCCGTGCCTCTTTTCCGACGTGCAACACGTTTTGGGGTATGTGACCGAAGCAGGAGATTGTCATTGAGTGAGTGAGTTAATATTGCTTAATGCTGAAAGCGGCTTAAAACTAAACACACTCACTCACTCACACCACATTAACGAGGATTTGCTGTTGTCGTAATATTTCAACTTAGGAATATTTTCTCGATTTTATGTGTTATACAATAAATTTGTCATGTCTGTTTCCCGTTGTTGCAGGAATTCAGTGCAAGTTTTTTCCTCCGACAGTCTTGGCGTGATCATCGCCTGGCTTACGACGACTTGAACTCCAGCATCGTCATCAGCGAGAAACGCCTGGACTCACTGTGGGTGCCAGACCTTTACTTCCCCCAGTCGAAACGGGAGAGCAGACATGTCATTACCATCCCCAATGTCATGATTCGTCTATCTCCGGACGGATCTGTCTTGTACTCGCAAAGGTACGTTGCCAAAATGTCTGGTTCACGCTCACTCTATCGCCACGTGGTTTAATTTATCCCGCCTTGATCTTAGGCTTTGCTTATCATCAGGAACGATTTGCGGCAAATGTTGTTAAAAGCCACGTCAGCGGAGTCCTCTCGAACGGTTTGCGGCATTTTGAGGAGACATCGCGAACTGCATGAAGTATATGTCGTTAAACGTCATCTCCGCAGTGAAGTCACGAACGGCTTGCGGCATGTGTTGTTAAAAGTCAACTCTGCATAGACACCACGAACGGCTTGCGGCATGTGTCGTTAAATGCCATGTCATTCGGAAATTTGCAGATCTTGTTTTCCATAAATATGGCGTATAAGTTGCGTCTCATCATCGTTCCAAGATCCAGTCACATATTGTCTGCACCGTACCATTGTTCCATGTCTTTATCAATGGGTGTAGGTCGACAAGAGTTGCTTTGGGATTTTCTTAAACGGACATGCCCTGAGATAAACGACAAATTGTTCAAGGCGGCGAAAATCTTGACACTCGGGCCATGATGGGATTCAGGGTCAGAATTACCCCAACACCAACCCCAACACCAGGCTGTCGTGCTTCCTTACTGAATTATGGACAGGCAATGGGCACTGGTCAGCTCCACGGACTTGATTATTTCCAGCCTTGGTCTTGTTTCGAATATTAAAAAATACGAAACAAAACAACAAACGGACATAGCTGCGGGTAATGATAACGGTTGTTTATGGGACCTTCCATTGACGTTCACGTTGAGATCATATACAGGTAGCTTTAAGGAAGATAGTAGCTAGTCATTAATAGTCGACCAACTGCTAGGTCGTGACAACTACACATTTCATCGCCCTGTGTTGTTCCTGTACTTTCAGGTTGTCAGTAACCTTTGATTGTCACATGGACCTTCACAAGTTTCCACTGGACAAACAAACCTGTCAGGTTGACATGGAAAGCTGTAAGTAAAATTATACAAAAGAATCGAGTGTGATTCGTACACTGGAATAACTTGCACGGCACAATACCGCTATATACACAACCTGATACATAGAATTAATCTGAAATGCGTCCGTGCGTGTTTTGATATTTCGACCCAATGAGTGAATGAGTTTAGTTTTACGCCGCACTCGGCATTATTCCCGATTTTGGCTGCTGCCTGTAAATATACGAGTCTGGACTAGACAATCCAGTGACCTAATGAAAACGTTCTTTGTAGTTGTGATTTAAAAAACAAGTGACACAAATGTATGATTTCCAACCCATGACCCTACAAAGGTATTTCTTATAAATAAGTAAGTAACCTCATTCACTCACTCTTGAACGCCCGTTAAACAATATATTACATGTACTTCATTTCATGTGAAATATTGGACACTGTCTTTATTTACAGATAGTTTCACGTCGGACGATCTATACTTTGCTTTCTCATCTACGAGGGTTCCTGTGCAGAAGAGCAAAGGAGCAGATATTCCTGATTTTACCATCACAGAAATCACACACACTGACTGCTCGGTCACATACGCTACAGGTAAACAATGCTGACTGTTCCAGATAGCAATAATTCCGGAAAGATTTGTGAGTGAGAGTATGCTTTTACGCCGATATTAGCAATATTCCAGTACTATCACGGCGGGGGACACCAGAAACGGGCTTCATACATTTTGCCCATGTAGAGAATCGAACACGGGTCTTCCGCGTGAAGAGCGAACGCTTTAACCACAAGGCTACCCCACCCCCTAGAAAGATTTGTGTGAGTGATTAAAACAACCGGGCTTCGTATCAATTTGAATCGGCATAATACCGAATGTGCTTATTATGTACGACATCGCAAATATAGGCTTTCCTTACACCTGATGCTGACAAGCCGAGGCACGATTGCACCTGAATGCAATAAAAGCAGGGCAAATATAAAATGCCCCAAAATATTATTTAACATTTTCAATCTACAAGAGGCGGTGGGATAGCCTAGTGGTTAAAGCGTTTGATTGTCACGCTGAAGACCTGAGTTCGATTCCCCATATGGGTACAATGGGTGAAGCCCAGTGATATTGCTGGAATATTGCTGAAGCGGGGTAAAACCACACTGACTCACTCACTCCAATCTACAATGGATATATTGATATTCATCTTTTTCTCATGCTTAAGGAACATTTACATGTTTGAGAGCAATCCTCCACCTGAAACGAGAGATCGGCTTCTACGCCACACAGACCTACGTTCCCAGCATCCTCATCGTCGTCCTGTCCTGGGCCTCGTTCTGGATCGACCACGAGGCAGTTCCCGCCAGAATCTCCGTGGGGCTCCTTACAGTGCTGACCATCACTTCCCAGAGTTCTGGTGCGCGCGCACAACTTCCCAGGGTTCCCTACGTAAAGGGTATCGACGTGTGGATGACGTCGTGCCTGGTGTTCGTGTTTGCCGCCTACATGGAGTATGCTGTCGTCACGGTGCTGTCTAGACAACACAAGAAGGGGGAGAAATACAACTCAAAAGTAAGTTCTGAAATAATTGTTAAAGGCACAATGTCACACCAAACTTCTCTAAAAATACATGATGCATTTCTCTCAATTATAAATGTCTTCTACACATAATTAAGTATTTAGATTACAGTATTAAATTAAAAAGTTCGAATGAATTAATGAAATCTTGTATAAAATCGACTGTCGCGCCCTCAACCAGCCGAACATTTTTTCAAGCGAACCCCATAGAGTTATGTCCCTTGGAGCGCTACGAATATCCCACGCAAAAACTTGTGATTGAAACCAATTTGGCAAACACCGACAACACAGCATGTGACAGTTTTCGATGTACGGAGCAATCGTTTACATTTCATATATGGCAAGTGTTATCTGTTTGGAAGCTGTTCGATTTCAGGCAAGTCGTAATGGGTAAAAAGTCCTTCATTGCATCAGAGACTATACGGTCTCTGATTGCATCAATAGGAAGCTAAAGTGAGTGCATATGCCCCCAATATGTCAAATTAGGCCAAACTATTGTCGGAAATGTGTGACATTATGCCTTTAAGGTAGCTAAATTACACCAGAGATATGTATACATAAAGGACAATACTTGCGCCAATTTTATTTTCATAGGGGGAAAGGCATACTAAAAGTCACCTTCCGTGATTGAAATTGAACAAAAAGTTTGTAAATTCGCAATAAACCCGTCATCCTCGATAATCTCCAGGGTATACGTTACGACCAATCTCCACTATACAAGGTGTCTACGCTGGGAAGTTGAGCTAACCAATCACAACTCACTTTCGCTTCTTAAATTATCTAACGTATGTTATATTTGGGATTACACTTTCTTAGTAAAGTACAGATTCTAAGACTTGTTGGGTTGAGTCCCATCCGGGATTCGAACCCACACCCTCAGAGTCAGGCACCTAATCGCCAGCACACAAAGTCAGACGCCTAGACCGCTCAGCCACCGCATCTACCACAAAGATGGAAGTGGGACAACTGGTAGTCCCGGCTGCGGACTTTGTGTACCCCTCTGATAAGTGATATTTGGCACTTCTCCCACGACCGAAAGCTATGAAATACACAATGCCATTTTAGAAAGTGGTCAAATGTAACGAACCCACACCCTCAGAGTCAGGCACCTAATCGCCAGCACACAAAGGTAATTATCTAACCGTTTAAACTTGGCAACATAATTGATGCAGAGGGTACTCTGAAAGATGTGGAAGGAGTTCTTTTATAATATATTTTTTGAAAGTTTCAGATCTGTCAATTTGTCTGTATTATTTCCCCAAAAATCTGAGTGGCACTGCGAACAAAACTTCGCGACTGCGCCCGCTATCTTTGTTGACACTGGTAAGCTCGGGTGTAACGGCGGCTTAGTTGATTGGCTAATGTGAGAATGCGGAGCCAGCAAAGGGAGGTAATATGATTATCGGGGCAAGCCTTGGATGCATCCAGGGTATAGTGGAGAGTGATCGTAACGTATACCCTGGAGATTATCAAGGATGTAAAAACGTAAAAAACGCCTATTACGGAAACCCCAGACAGAAATGGGAGCATTGGTGTGGTCTACGCAAAGCCGACGCTCAATTGTGTGCCCTTAGCTGCGCAGGATCCGCTGATCAAATACCAGGTTCACCAACGCTGTAATTGTTCGTTTGACAGAACCTTACCGGTTCTTGTAGGTTTAACTAAAGAGACTACAAACGAAATACGGTACTGTTGAAAGCGGCATTGTACTGGGTGAATCTTTTACTTGATGGGTAGATTTTGGACCTTTTGGCAGTGTTCAAAGTGGCTTTGTACTGAGTATATCTTTTAATTGATTTGTAGATTTTGGACCTTTGGATAGAAGCGATCCAGAAAATTGTAGGAAATGAAACCTTGTTTAAAGCCACAGTGCTATGCTATATCACAAATGGCGTTTAGACTTTGACATGAACATATCGTGGTTGACATCATCAGCGTAGACCTACGCAATGTGGAGAGTATCAAATTTGAGAGCAATACCAATCCCGTTAGTCGCCTCTTACTATAACCCAGGGTGTCGTTGTATGAAACAACCTTAGCCCTTCGACTGTTGTAAGTCTGTGTTGTGGTATGGGAGTTATGACCACCTCACCGCTAAGATCGCTTTGTACAACGGCACCCAGGTCTATTGTTACGACATCTCATAAGAGGCGTCTAACTCGATCAGGCCCGCTGACTTGCTTGACACATGTCATCGTATCCCAGTTGCGTGAATCGATGGTCATGCTGTTGATCACTGGATTGTCTGGTCCAGACTTGATTATTTACAGACCGCCGACCTTTAGCTGAAATATTGCTGAGTGCGGCGTAAAACTAACTTCACTCTTTTCCTGCAGCTGAATATCATGCCCAGGACGATATTACTGTTATAAGGTTTAACATGTATCTTCTAAAGAAGATAAGCATAACAAACCCACCATTGAGAATTGCGGTTATGTCGTGATAGAACGGATGCTGATTGGTAATTGATCACGGGATGTAGAGCATAATAACTGGGAGTAACAGAATACAAAAGACTCGATGTTCATGATGTCGATCACTGGATTGTCTGGTCCAGACTCGATTATTTACAGACCGCCGTCATATAGCTGGGGTATTGCTGAGCGCGGCGTTAAACAACAAACAAACAAATGTTTCGACATCTGTTCTTGCAAATTATTATAACGGAACAACAATGTGACATGTGGGCTTTTTTCGATCCAGGCTTCCAACAACTCAAGTTTCACCGACACTGATCCGTCGAAACCGTCCACCTTCGACGACAGCAGTAGCGGCAGCAATGGTGCGCTCAAACAAGTCAAAGATGCTGGGAAGAGGGTGGACACGATTTCACGATACGGATTCCCCTTGTCCTTCCTCATATTCAACATCGTGTACTTCGTGTACTATATTTACGTCGACTGATTGCGCCGTACACCTGGGTTTTCAAACTAGACTGCCTGGTAGAAGAAAGTATACCCTATTGCTTGATGCAGGCTTAAACTGGAACGCACATCTCTGGTGATTCTACCACGATGAATTTCAGGGCTGGCTAAAATTATCAATCATTGGAAATATTGTCGTTAGGAAAATATTAATAATTATCGATATGAAAATTGCCCCATCGATAATAGCGTTCAATAACTTTTTGTGATAGAACTTTTCATTTTCTCACACAAAATACAAACTTTGGACTTTATTCATGGTCTGCTTCTAAATTATATTCAGGGTGCTGTTTTGTTGAAAATTTATGCATAAACTTGCCACAACTCACCACTGATGTGAAGTATAGTTATTTATTTCATTTGTCATTTTTGCTCAAAGTTACGTCTCCGATATTTATCTATAATCGATTGATATTTATTTAACGATTATCGATCTCTATTAGCACTATCGATAGCCAACCTTGAATTTTATACGGTTATGATGATGTGTTTTAGAACTTGTGTACACTACGTCTAGGGTACCTTTGTCAACGTTTTTGAAATTTTGTGGTCAACTTCAAATTTCAGGGGGCTACCCCTAGTGGTTAGAGCGTCCGCTCGTCACGTCGAAGGCCGGGTTCGATTCCTCACATGGGCACAATATGTGAAACTACAGCGTAAAACTAAACTCACTCATTTCTCAGAAGTGTACTTTCTTTTGTCCTGTAGTGTACCTACATTGCATCATCATATTGCTGCTTTTCTTTAAAATACTCTTCTAGAGTATGTGCTATTTTATATGTCGTTAAACACTATGAAATCAAATTTCGTATCACATCAATGTTAAGAAAACATTGTAGTAGATATAACAAGTGTTGAGTGCTAATATTCATGTTATTGTAATTTATTAGTTTTAAATTGAGAATAAAACTGTGATATTACCTATATCAATTTTATGTTCAATGTGGTAAAATGCCTGGGGTACCTTTATTAAAGTACCTTTATTAAAGTCTGGTAACTTTTTGAAAATGTTTTTGGTGTTTTGTCAAATCCAGTGTCTATAAAGCACGGCCATATCACGGCGTCTCTTCAACAGTGCTCTTTTTGGGTGAATTATGTCATATTGTACCTGCAATTAAACAAAGTGCCTATAACACAACTTAAATATTTGAGTCACAGCTGCTTCAGATATCAGGATATGACCCCATGTTGTTTCATTTTTTAAGGGGGATGGTGTGGTAGCCTAGCGGTTAAAGCATTCGCTCGTCACGCTGAAGACCCGGGTTCGATTCCCCACATGGGTACAATGTGCGAAGCCCATTTCAGGGGTTCCCCGCCGGGATATTGATGGATTATTGCTAAAAGCGGCGTAAAACTAAACTCACTCACTCATTTTTTACGGCGCCTACATATTGTTTTCTTTAAGTTAGGTCGGTGATAGGTAATCCAGTGGTTGAAGAGTTCCCTGGTCAAAGGGCCGCTAGTTTCTATGGCTACTGTGTCGGTTCCTGGTGTCCAGGGCAGGATATTGTTAGAATATTGTTCTCGTCTTTATACGGCTGAAACATTGCTGTGCGACAGAAGATTTGAACTTATTTTCCAGCTTACCAAACACAAATATCACACAGTTGAATAGTATTTGTAAGTATTTGTATTCATAATACACCGAAAAATATCCAATTTAACAACTCCAGTAAATAATTTTCATATGATCTCGACATACCAGTATTCGCACATAAAGGTGATGCATTACTTACAAAATTATTAGAAGCGGACGTAAAATATCCGAAATGTATGTATATAAGGTTTGTGTTCCGTTTTGAGTGCCATGATGGTTTACAGCCGCACTCAGCAATATTCCAGCTATATGGCGGCGGACCAGACAATCCAGTGATCAACAGCATGAGCATCTATCTACGCAAATGGGATACGATGATATGTGTCAAGCACGTCACCGAGCCTGACCACCCGATCCCGTTAGTCGCCTCTTACGAAAAGCATAGGTGACTGAATACCAATCCTAACCCGGATCTTCACAGGTATCACTGATTCACTTGTTTTCCCTGTCGCGAATATACAGCCATAACATTATTATCAATACCTTCAGATGCCCTTATCCTCGGTTTTCGTTTGATCGCAAATACGAAGTGATTTTCTGTATACTTCGAAGATAATGGCGTGAATCACTCTATCCGATACCCGATGTTAATTAGTGACTAAATTATTCTTTTGGGGATATTTCCAATCTGTCCTTAATCAAAATCAGCTTTTAATTTCCGTTACACCACGCGAACTGCCTCCAACCAGTAATAAGTCTCTTTGCCCCGAGTAAGTTACCCAGTTGCGTTGAGAGGTTCCAATCGATGCCAGATAAATGTTTGTTGTGTTATTGCACGTGTAGAGCTGTTCAGGTACAACTGCTGGACATATCCTCGTGGCAGAAATTCTATGTAACAGGATAATGTCAAATACTTTATTTTATTGAGCGGGGACCATGAATAGTTTTTTTGTCCACATTATCACGTCGCCATATTCAATTTGATAGTGGGTGTTTGTGTGTGCTTGAGTGTGTGTTGTTTCCATGGCGTTGTGTTTTGTGTTTTTTCTGATTAGATTTTTATTGGTTGTATTCTCATTGGTGATCAACTGTGTCAGCGATCAGCAGACTCTCTCTGGATGTTAGCATCGGTTAGAGTGGATTGTGACATCGTAGGACCAATCGGCCAACATCGGCCCTTTACGTTATCTTAAAAACTGAACAAACAGGCTCGCGGATGCACATTTATGATCAGGTACTGTGTTAAATTTCATTATAACTGTTTATGTCGTTGCGTATTTAGAAGTTTTTACACTAAACAAAAATATATTTGTATACAGGAAATCATTGAAAATATAGTTGCGCTGAAAATGGCCGCTTTGTAACGTGCAGTTTATAGTTTAGTGATCTCCCCGTTCATAACCACATACCATTACCGTATCACCACTTATCTGCGGCTTTTCCGTGAGACAAGGCGTTGATGTCGACTGCAAGCTGGGATGTTTGCACCGTCATGCGCTACTCTTCCAAGGCTGAGATCAACCCAGAGTGGTTTGGGCCGAGGCTGAGATCACTCTGGAGTGATTTGGGCCGAGGCTGAGATGACCCCAGAGTGACTTGGGCCAAGGCTGAGATCACCCCCAGAGTGAAGGGCCGAGGCTGAGATCATCGCCCCAGAGTGACTTGGGCCAAGGCTGAGATCGCTCGAGAGTGACTTGAAGGGCCAAGGCTGAGATCGCTCCCCAGAGTGAACTTGGGCCAAGGCTGAGATCGCTCCGAGAGTGACTTGGGCCAAGGCTGAGATCGCTCCAGAGTGAAGGGCCAAGGCTGAGATCGCTCCAGAGTGACTTGGGCCAAGGCTGAGATCGCCCCAGAGTGACTTGGGCCAAGGCTGAGATCGCTCGAGAGTGACTTGGGCTGAGGCTGAGATCGCTCGAGAGTGACTTGGGCCAAGGCTGAGATCATCCCAGAGTGAAAGGCCAAGGCTGAGATCACCCCAGAGTGAAGGGCCAAGGCTGAGAACGCCCCAGAGTGAAGGGCCAACCCCAGAGTGAAGGGCCGAGGCTGAGATCACCCCAGAGTGAAGGGCCAAGGCTAAGATCACCCCCAGAGTGAAGGGCCAAGGTTGAAATCAGCCCAGAGTGAAGGGCCAAGGCTGAGTTCACCCCTCCAAGGCTCAAATGAATCCCCAGACTCACAACACTTCTTGATCTTGGGCGGTGGGGTGGCCTAGTGGTTAAGGCGTTCGTTCGTCACGTTCGATTCCCCACATGGGTACAATGTGTGAAGCCCATTTCTAGTGTCCCCTGGTATAGCTGGAATATTGCTAAAAGCGGTGAGGGACATCAGATTTGGGCTTCACACTTTGTGCCCATGCGGGGAATCGAACCTGACGAGCGAACGCTTTAATCACTAGGCTATCCCACCACCCCGATACACCACAGGTCCATGAACATGGTCGAGACATGCTCTTACGTTTCGTCAACCCCTGTTGCCACCAATGTAATTTATTGAGATTTATTGCGCATCTTTTTCTTCACACCCCGCTTTGTTTCGTGTCCCGTTTCTATGGAATACTGTAAGGGATCTCGCATTCTCGCACTTTTGGCATATTTAGCTTGTTTCCAAAGGTCGAGATCGCGAGAATGTCCCTTACAGTATTCCATACGTTTCTGCGTGTGTTCACATCAATGGCTCTGCCAACTACGGCAACACATTTCGACGCGCATTTCCCGGAAGCGTTTCACAGACCTATCATTTTGGAGTCTGATTCCTGATTGTTTGTGTTATGTTTGTCAGTACCATTCCCCGTGTATGCGCCCTCCTCCAATCGCCTTTATTCAGATGCCTCACATGTTAGATGAACCCGTGAAGATCCGGGTTAGAATTGATCTTCAGTAACCCATGTTTGTCGTAAAAGGCGACTAACGGGATCGGGTGGTCAGACTCGCTGACTTGGCTGACACATGTTATCGTCATATAGCTGGAATATTGCTGAGTGCGGCGTAAAACTAAACTCATTCACTAAATGATAATGAAACAGATATCAACTTGCCACCAACTAAAATATCTTACCCTTCACGTATGTCTACAACACTTGGTATGACAGGCGGGATTGCCTCAGATCTTTCCATATTCTTTCACTTTAGTTGAGAGCAAATTAAGACTGAAACGATCTCGCTGCGGCGTTAAACAACAAACCAACATGTCAGATGCTTTCACAGAAAAGTCACTTTGTAATTTGAGTATTAAGTGCACCCGACCCTTTTTTCATGATTCTGGATCTGCCTCACCACTTCAGTCCTTTAGACCCGTGAAGATCCGGGGTAGAATAGGTCTTCAGCAACCCATTCTTGTCATAAAAGGCGACTATGCTTGTCGTAAGAGGCGACTAACGGGATCGGGTGGTCAGGCTCGCTGACTTGGTTGACACATGTCATTGGTTCCCAATTGCGCAGTTCGATGCTCATGCTGTTGATCACTGGATTGTCTGGTCCAGACTCGATTATTTACAGACCGCCGCCATATAGCTGGAATATTGCTGAGTGCGGCGTAAAACTAAACTCACTCACTCACTTCAGTCCTTTAATACAGTTAACAAAAAAGTGCAATACTGTTAAACCCGACTCACATACTCTATTTAAACTTGCAGATCATTAATTGAGTGAGTGAGTGAGTTAAAATTTAACGTCATATTGGCAATATCTCAGCCATATCGTGACAATCATTAATTGAAGTGCCTGCAATGTTTAACAATTGGGTTACAAGTAACCGACACTACCAACTTTGGATAGATTCAGTGGGTCGTCGAGCAACAACTAATGCTGCCTTATCCATTATACATAAACATTGTAGAATCTGCCCAATTATAAATTAATATAAAAGGTTTAAGTGCTGCATGCACTACTGCATCTTCAAATTAGGGCAGCGTAGAGATC